CCCCTCCACCATGTAGCCCTCGCTCTAGTCTCCTGTGATGACAGAAATACCTAGTTATATATCTCTTTTAAACAGTTTTCTCCCTCCTCTGTTTCAGTGCAGTATACATTATTGAACCCATCTTACTCAGTTTCTCCCCAACCCCAAGGACAGTCCCATTCTACAACAGTGGCATCATGTAATATTTGTCCTTTTGTGACTGGGATATTTCACTCAGCATAATGTTCTCCAGAGTCAACCATTTTGAATAATATTGCATGAGTTCCTTGTTTTTTAATGCAGCATAGTATTCCATTGTGCGAATATACCACAGCTTCTCTAGCCATTCGTTTGTTGATGGGCACTTAGGTTGTTTCCAACTCCTTGCTATTGTGAACAAAGCTGCAATAAACATGGGAGTGCATATATCTGCTTGGATGTCAGCTATGGTCTCTTCAGGGTATATTCCCAGTAGTGGAATTGCTGGGTCAAATGGTATCTCTATTTGCAACTTTTTGAGAAAGCGCCATACTGCTTTCCACAGGGGTTGCACCATTTCACACTCCCACCAACAGTGAATCAGGGTTCCAGTTTCTCCACAACCTCGCCAGCATTTGTTGCTTGCTGTTCTGTTAAATTTTGCTATTTTGACTGGGGTGAAATGATATCTCATAGTTGTTTTAATTTGCATCTCTCTTAGGGCTAGGGATTTTGAGCATTTCTTCATGTGTTTGTTAGCCATCTGAATGTCGTCTTCAGTGAAATGCCTGTTCATATCCTGTGCCCATTTTTCTATTGGATTATTTACCTTTATCTTGTTGTGGTGTAGAGCTGTTTTTTTAAAATGATGTTATTCTAAAATGGTTTTGGTTTTTTCCCCCCAGATGATGATTGAGACATATTTAAAAAAAATGACAGGTCCCACAAAAGAAACAGAACTTTGTTGTTTTCTGAGGTTTTGTTTTGTACTTTTTTTTTTTTTGTATGGAGTGTGCTGGATATCTCTATTATTTTTCTTCTGATGACTGTAGAACCTGGAAAAGCTGTTGCTGCTATTGATGCAAAACACACTGTGCTTGGTCTTTTATGTGTGTGTATTTGCTGTTTGTACTGTAGAGTTAGAATTGACCCATAGATGACCCCCTGGTGGGTCTTCAGAGACGGTAGTTGCACAGAAGGAGATTGCCCATCCTTCTCCCATGGTGAAGCTGGTGGCTTCGAACTGTGTGCCTTTGGGATTGCAGATTTTACATCTCTCTCTCTCTACCTCTACCTCTATATATCTATACCTCTCTATATTACTTGAATTTTTGGAAACTTTAGCTGTGCTATCAGTTTTGGAAAAAATATCCCAGTTGTTCAGTGTCAAGTTGACATTACAGAAATTAACAGCACTGTTGGTCTAGAAATGTTAATCTTAATTCCTCCCCCCTCTTAGTTGCACAGGGGTAACACACTGTATTAAATATGTAAGGTCTTAGTTACATGAGTTTGATTGCAGAAACTAATACTCTTAAAAAAAAAAAAAGATCCTGGGCTAGATTTGGCTTAAGGACTGTAGATTATCATACCTCACATTCTTTGGCCATGTTGCTAAGAGAGGCTATTCCTTGGAATGAGACATTATGCTTGGAAAAGTGGAGGGTCAATGAAAGAGGGGAAGACTTTCAACTATATACATTGACACTTTGACTGCAGTCCTAAACTCAAGTGTGTCAGCAACGATGAGGATGGCAGAGGATAGGACAGATTTCAGATCTGTACAGAGTTCAGATTTGTACTCGACTCAACACCTAACAACATCAACAGTCGAAATTTAAGAAAATAGTGTGTTAAAAATACCATTTCAATGTAAGATATTACTTATAAATTACATTTTCTAGTCTTCCAAATTTGAAAACTATTACCAGTCTCAGCAGAGAAGTTGCTCATGTCACTAATGATCAAATGAGGGTCCGATGTACATCTTGTCCTTTCTGTCTTCCTTGGTTCCATCTTTCATGTTAAGATAAATTAAGACATCAACCCCCCTGCTGTTGGGTAAAACTACTCTCAATTGCTCATTTCAACCGTAGGTTAGCTTAGGATATCAGAGGTCAGCAAAAATCAACAGAAGCAGTCAGTGAGGAATTGGTTACGTGGAATTTGTCATGGGGAATGTTGTATGGTTTTGTATTATTTGTAAGATGTTTGCTACACATTCTTTCTATCAGTGTTGCTGAGGAATAGAAGCCAACTCTCAGCTGACCCTCTAGTGGGTTTTCAGAGGCTGTAAATTGGATAGGAGGATACTGCCCATCTTTCTCCTGTGGAACAGCTGGTGGATCCAAACCATGTGCCCACAGGTTGGCACTCCTTACCCTTAGGCTACCAGAACTCTTTGTGTAAAATTCAATTCATTGCCGTCAAGTCAGAGCTGATTTTTAGCTGAGCCTCCAGTGGGTTTCTGAGACTATAAATCCCACAGGAGGAGATTGCTCGCCTTTCTCTCATCGGAACTGCTGGTTGATTTAAACCACCAGAGAGGCATAGCCTTTGGGTTATCAGCACATCCCCCTACGAGCGATGCCACCAGAGCTCCCTGTCTATCAGTAAAGTGTATCCTGAACTTCTCTTGTATGTGTGTGTATATGTGTGCTCATACATGACATTCATGCACACACATGCATATATATGTTACTCATTCTGGAGAGCCTGGAACTTAAGCATGCATTGCTGCTGTATTTATAAGTTCTGAGTCTGGTCGATCCAGCTTTACAGGAACATTGGAGCATCCCTCCCACTGCATTCTCATGGACTTCATACTTCGCACCACCTCCCATTTAAATGACCTGGCTTCCGGGCACAGCATGGCTGGCATCCATGCTCAAGTTCAAACAATAACTTTCTAATGATTAAGTTCATATATTCGCTGTACTAGATAACCTGACAATTTTATCTTTTTATTATTATTGGTGCTGATGGTGGTGGTGAAAATACTCACAAAACTTTCACCAATTGAATAATTTCCACATGTGCAATTTCAGTGACATTGATTACATTGTGTTGTTCAGCCTTTGACTATCCTTTTCTAAATTATTTCACCACCATTAATATAAAATCATTGCTTCCTATTTAAGTTACCTTGTGATGCTATAACAGAAAAACCAAGAGTAGGTGGCTTCAACAACAGAAATTTATTTTTTCACAGTTTAAGGAGTTAAGGCTGGACAATGATTAAATATGATAGAAGAAGAATAGATGCCTTTGAGCTGTGATGCTGGAGAACAGTATTGGATATACCACGTACTGCTAAGATAACAAATAGGTCTGACCTGGAGAGGGTGAAATCAGACTGCTCTTTGGAGACAAGGATTTTGAAGCTCTGTCTGACATACTTTGGGCATGTTGCAAGGAGAGATCAGTTCTTGGAGAGAGACATAATGCTTGGAAGGGTGGACAGAAGACCCTGGATGAGATGGATTGATTCAGTGACTGGGGTAATGGAGGTAGGAGTGTCAGAGACAATGAAATTGGCTCAAGATAGGACAGGCTTCAGAGCCTGTTGTACATAGGATAGCTATGACTTGGAGGTCACTCGATGGCACAAAACAACAACAAGGAGTCAGACATTCCAGTTCAGCTCTGCTCTTGTTAGGTGTTGTCAAGTCTTCTCTGACTCATAGTGACCCTCTGTCTAGCAGTTAGCATGACTGGCTGCTAAATAAGAAGTTGGAGTTTAAGTGACTTGGACATGCCTCGAAAGAAAGGTCTGGTAATCCACTTCTGAAAAAACAGCTTCAAAACCTATGGGGTTCTGACGTAGCACGGTCACTATGAGCTGGAATTGACTGGAGAACAGCTGGCACTGGGTCAGAGAGAAATGGCCCAGGACCATTGAGAAGGGTCTTGGGACTCAGTACTAATCCTGACTGTGGAGTCTTGGGGCAGGAGCTCCAGAAAGCTGAGCTCAGCAATGCCTTTAGAAGGGGGTAGAAGGGATCCTGCCCTGTGCTTTCTACATCAAAAACCTATCCTTTGGGCCCTGCCAGTCTCTATCTCCTTTCATAAGAGAAGTCCTCAGGGGCAAGGATGTGTGCCCATCAAGCCCATGATCACCCTTCTAGATCTTGGGGCTCAGAGTCCCCCATTCAAAAGCACCCAGACATCCCATATGTGCATATCAGGCTGACCAGGGGTCTGACCATCTCTGAGGCATGTATGAGCAGGCATGAGGGCTGGTCCACAAACCCTGTGGTGCAGGATGGAGCCAGCGTGCAGGCTGGGAGCCACAGTTCTCCAGTGTGAACCTTGGTGAGTAGGGATGCAGAGTTAGAACCAGGCCTCCTGGGGTTTGTTATGAAGGTGTAAGTGGGCGAATCTTGGGCAGGGCTGAATTGGGACCCAGTGACTTCTTCCTTCATGTTTCTGGGCCATTTGGTTGAGGCCATCTGCCTCTTTTTCATTCTCCAGGGACCTGTCTGATCCAGGCTTTGGAGAGAACAGCTCTTCCGCTAGTCATTTCCACACTTGCTGGTTTGCTCCTGTGTCCCTATGCAGTGCAATTGATTTGTCCCAACCTATTAACCCAATGGATCCCTCCCTAGGGAGCTCTGGTGGCTGAGTGATAAGGAATTGTTTTGTCAACCCAAAGGCACATGGTTCGAATCACCAGCTAGGTAGAAAGATGGACAATCACCAGCTGAGAGAATCAGTCACCTTCTGTATGATTAATTGCCTCTGAAAACTCTCTAGAGGATCAGCTGTGAGTTGTCCCAACTCAAAGGCGTACAACAACAACAACACTACTAATCTAAAGATTGATGGGTCCAACCCTCCAACTAGTAAGCACTGTGGAAGAAAGGCCTGGCAATCTGCTTCCAAAAGGATCACAGCCATGAAACCCCTGTGCAGCTGTGTGTTGAGAGGAAGAATTATGAGTCAGAACAGATGTGATGGTGGCAGCAGATCGCGGGTGTGTGTTTGCTTTTGCTAGAAGCCTCTGCCCGGCCTCAGTGCCCCTTTTTGGTGTTGTCCCTCAGCTGGGGGGTTCCGCTGGCCATCACTGTGGCTGCTGTCGTGCTGAAAAAGATCGGCTACGATGCCTCGGATGTTTCTGTGGGTTGGTGCTGGATCGACCTGCAGGCGGAGGATAGCACCCTGTGGATGCTGCTGACCGGGAAGCTGTGGGAGCTACTGGCCTATGTCACACTGCCCGTGATCTACATCCTCATCCGGAAGCACATTAACAGAGCGGTAGGTGTGCGCGCAGTAGCCCTGGGGACACGCAGACGTGCAGGTCAGCCACCCTAGAGGACAGAACAGTAACAAGCCAGGGTGCCTGTACAATGTGTGACAGGGCCGTCTCATTTGCTTAGCACAGAGCCCCCTCAGGAGTTGGGTCTTGCATTCCTTCCCTTTGCAGCTAAGGATGCAGGCTCAGGGGAATAAGAAGACATGCCTACAGTTCATGGGAGGAGGCGGTTCCCAGAGCCTGTGTGCTTGGCTGCAGCCCTTTGCTGCCTCCTAGTGGGCAGACACCAGTGGTGATTGCTTTATCATTGAAAGGCCTTTTGAAAAAAGGAGAGAATCTATCCAAATAAAGAGTAAAACTCAGATGCCTTCAGATGGGCAGGAAAGACGGTGGAATTTCATTATGAACAATGCAAATAATTTATCTAAAACCAGACTGCTCCTTGGAGGCAAGGATTCTGAGGCTTCGTCTGACATACTTGGGACATCTTGTAAGGAGGGAGAGGTCCTTGGAGAAGGACATCATGCTTGGGAGGGTGGAGGGACAGCGCAGGAGGGGAGGACCCTCTATGAGGTGGATTGATTCAGTGACTGGGGTAATCAGGATGGGAGTGTCAGGCAGTGCGGTTGGCAGAGGTTAGAGAAGGGTTTAGGGCTGTTGTACATAGGATCGCTATGAGTCACAAGCGACTGGACTAGATGACACATAACAACAACAACAACTCTTGATTGTCAAAATAAAGTAATAAATGATAGGAAGTCCCAGGATTAGGCAAACAAATTAATGCATTCAGATGCTAATGCGACTCAGCTACTAACAGAAAGAGATTTGAGTCCACCCAGAAGGGTCTTGGAAGAAAGGTCTGGCAGTCTACTTTTGAGAAGTAATCTGAAAACCCTGTGGAGCACAGCTCTTCTCTGTCACATGTGGGGTCCCTACAATTTGGAACTGACTTTAAAACCAGTAACTTTCAGACACCCAGGAGTTCATATATCCATAGCCCAGGCTGACAGAAAGTCTAGGGAAGAGTCTAACAATTTGACCAAATTGTTGTTCTAACTACCAGCTGTGCAAACGTAATCTGGGCTTCCTTCTACTCTCAAGCGAACTGTTAGGGGGGAAAAGCCTCCAGTTAACTCACCCATTGATTTCCCTACTACTCTTTAGATATTTTTATTTCTGCATCCAGAAGTATTGTGTACATTTCTGATGGAGTCAAATATCAGCACTTTATTCTCAGAGAGAACTCACCAATCAAGTCATTCAATCGATTCCAACTCATTGTGACCCTAGTAACACATTGTAACTGTCCTGTAGGGTTTCCGAGGCTGCACTCTGTACAGAGGGAGTTCAACTCAAAGGTGGTTCAAATCCACTCAATGGGAGAAAGATGTTTGTTCTCTTGCACAGCCTCCAAGAACCTACCAGAGCATCAGCTGAGCCACACTTCCAATATGATGGCCATGAATTTTTTAAATCTTTACAGAAGCTGACTTTCTCCCAGGGACTAGCTGGGAGATTCAAAATGCTGACCCTCCAGTTAGTGACCCAGCGCTTAACCCACTGTGTGATCAGGGAGGCAGATAGGATGGGAAGTATAAGACAAGACCAAAGGTAGTAGGTGACTGGGGCAGCAGAGGAGTCCGGATGGGTTGCTCTGGGTTAGACATGTGAGCTCGCTGCAGGCTTGCTGCCAGCCCTGCTGTGTTTCTGTTGTCATCTGAGTATGCAGAGCTTGAGGTTGTAGGAGGGCATGTCTTGTCTTTCTGAATTACTTTTGGCTCTGTAGTCATTTGTGAATCTAGAGGATGCTCCCTCCAGCAGCTGTCTGTGACTGTCAGGATACCTGATCCCCTCCCTGGGATCTCAGCATCTTCAGGACAAGGCTCCTGGTTCTCTTTTTATAGGGAAATGAAATGATTCTCCACCAGGCCTGTTGCCCTCTCCTAGCTGGGTGGAGGTGGGCCTATAGTATCCAGCATGACTTTAAGTTGATTTGGAATCATTCTTGTCTTCTGGCAAGTTTTTCCTAATGCCCTGAGTTAGAGTGCCTTCCCCTCACCCTCTTGCAGTACCCTCCCACCACTCCCCCAAATTTCCACTGCCCAGGAAAGGAAGATTCCGGGATCCCAGAAGCGTTGTCCCGCTATGGCCAGGACTGCTCTTTGCAAGTACCCTTTTGTGTGTCTTTCTTCTTCACTCCAGCCCCTCAGGGCAGGAAGCTGAGGGGCCGTGCCTGTGAGGCTGACCCCTGTATATGAGAAAGGAGCCCCTGTTACAGTTCGGAAAGAAGAGAGTGGTGGCAACAATGGGCTTACACATAGCAATGATTTCGAGCATGGTGCACACCCAGGCTTGTGCTGCATGTGTTTCTTTCTGTTCTACAAGAGGTCGCTGTGAGTCAGAATGAACTTGATGGCACCAGTTAACAGTGTGCACGGGAGGAGCCCTGATGGTTAAGCTCTTGGCTGCTAACTGGAAAGTTGGTGATTCAAACTTACCAGGCTCTCTGTGGGAGAAAGCGGTGGCAGTCGGCTTCCATTAGGAGGGCAGCCTTGGACACCCTGGGGAGTTAGTGTAAGTCAAAAGCGACAGGACAGTACCTAACAACAGTTTGTCTCACATACTTTGGGCATGTTGCCAGGAGGGACTCGTCCTTGGAGAAGAACATCATGCTTTGAAGGGTGGAGGATCATTAGAAAAGGAGAGAAAGACCCTGGATGAGATGGATTGACACAGTGACTGTGGCAATGGGGCAGGTGTGTCAGAGATTGGCTCAGATTAGGATGGTGTTCAGGGCTATGTGTCGTAGTGGACTTGACACACAACAACAGTGAGCTGAGAAGCAAGAAGGTACACTCTGTTTCCATCCCTGCATTAGGAAAGAACATTAAAACTAAGTAAGGATTGCTTTGAAGAGTGACCTGGTTAGTGCCAGGCCCTGGAGTGAGTTGTGGGGTGGGGATCAGCTCTCTGGGCTGCTGAGAAAGGCCCTGAGAAATGGAGGAGCAGGTGTTCCGAGCAGGTGTGTCACAGAAACACTGGTGCTTAGGGATACCCAGGTGTCTGGTTCATTAGGACAAGTGTCAGAGGAAAAGCCTGAGGTCTTCCTTACGTGGACATCAGTGCTCAACACCTAGACTAGATTCCAAAGTATGTCTCCGTTATGAGTTATTTCAGCCAACTGTAAAAATCCAGGTGTGCCGTCCTGCCTCTCCCTGGAGGACTTGCCCAGGAGCAGAGGAAGGGCAAGGCTGATGGTGCACAGTTTTCAGACCAGGGTTCTCTTCACAGTCCCATGAAACCAGCTGCTCTGGGGCTTGGAGCCCTTTGCCCTGGTGAGTTTGCATTCTGGAGGAATGGGATGGCTATCGTAGTAAACATGATAAACAGGCATGGAAGACATAGCATGGCCAAGGATAGTCAGGACTTTGACAGACACAGATACAAACTGGGTAAAGGAATGCGACTGTCTGCAGTTTAAATAGGCCTGTCAGAGCAGCCCTCATCTCACAGGTGACACTGGAGCAAAGGCATGGGGATGAGGCAGTGAGCTGGATAGGTGAGTGTGGGAGAGTAGTGCAGTAGAGGGAACAGCAAGTGCAAAGGCCTTGAGGTGGGCCTGGCCTGTCTGAGACCTTACAAGGAGGCTAGAGTAAAGACAAGGAGAGCAGCTTGAATGAGGTCAGAGCTGGAATGAGGTTGGCCTTTCTTGGCTATTACAAGGAGCGTGGAAAGGGAAAACCTTCCAAGAGTCCTTGACAGAAGACTGACTTGGCGTGACTTAGTTTGTAAAGGAACCATGCTGCTTCTAGGTTGAGAATAGATTAGTGAGGAGAAGGGTCGAGGTGGTAAGGGTGAAGCAGGGGGACACGTTAAGGAGCACTTGGGGTGATGATGGACCCAAGTGGTGAACAAGGTCAGGAGTATCCAGACTTTAGGTCTATTTTGAAGATAGCACCAACAGACTTGCAGGGGGTGGGGAGGGTGTCAGGTATGGGCCTGGGTGGCTGGAAGGGTGGGGGTCCCACTCTGAAACCAGGAAGGGCACCTTCACCTTGAGGTCAAGGTCAGACACTTGATTTTGGACATGGGAAGTGGGGGACATCCTTGCAGCACCCATATGAAGATGTGGGTGGGATTGGAACTCACCAGTGTGCAATTGGGAAAGGCCTAGGAATGTCCCCCAAATTAGATGGCTTCTTCTCGAATTGCATCAAGGGCCAGAGAAGAGCTGGGAGCCTGGGTCCAGGTGGCCGGGGCCAGTGTCCATCCGCTCAGGACTGCCTTGTGTCCCCTGCACAGCACGAGGCGCTGTCAGAGTACCGGCCCATCCTCTCTGATGCGCACCAGCGGCAGCACCTCACCTCGGTGGCTGATAAGAAACTGATCCTCATCCCGCTCATCTTCATCTGCCTGCGCATCTGGAGCACCGTGCGGTTCGCCCTGACGCTCTGTGGCTCCCCGGCTGTGCACACCCCAGTGCTGGTGGTTCTGCATGTAGGTCCCTCCTTCTCCATGGTGTCGGTGCACTGGGGCCAGGCCTCTCCCCACCCCCACCCCGGCAGAGTGACGGGCCCCAGTAAGCCAGCTTGTGCAGGGCTGACCAGTTGCTCAGCTCTGATGCACGTTCCTCCCATGTACTGAGGGTATCTCTGGAGAGGGGTCCTTGGAGAGACAGTGAGGAGATGCCTGTGTTTCTAGCACATCCCTTAGCAGGGAGTGATGTAGAATCAGCCTCAGGAGAGTTGACTGTTCCTGGGTTCCTCCCAGCTGGAAAGCCCAGAGATTATCTGTGCCAGGCCTGCAAGCCCAGGCTTGCCTGGAGTTCTGGCCAAGGCCCAGGTGGCTTTGGTTATGTGAGGTGAGCCTCGAGAGTGGAGGAAAGTCCTGGGTGAGCAATGATCCTGGGCCCCTGTGTTCGTGTTGTCCCACCAGCCCCAGGCCTTGATGTCTCCCACTTCCTTCCTGACAGGGCATCGGGAACACGTTCCAGGGAGGAGCCAACTGCATCATGTTCGTCCTCTGCACCCGTTCCGTCCGGACGCGGCTCTTCTCTCTGTGCCGGTGCTGCTCCTCCCAGCCTCCCACCGAGAGCCCAGTTCGCCCTTCCAAGGCGTCAGCGCCCTCCAAGACTGGAGACTCTCAGGAATCCAAACGCGCTCCAGTGGAACTCCCAAGCACCTGAACTTCTGTCCTTCTTCCAGGCGGTGCTGCTTCCCTGGGGACTGGTAGCCTGTGGGTCCTGTTCCAGGGAGTGGGTGTGGGCGTGGTGTCTGCTCTGTTAGCTCCCAACCCCAGTGTCAGGGGGAGCAGCTGCAAACTCAGCTTCTTCTACCTCCTAGACCCCAGGCAGCCCCAGCCCCTGACAGCGTGGCCTGGCACTTGTCTGGGTCGGCCTGCCTTGTGGGTCAATGATGAGAATCAGGGAAACCGGCGGTCCAGTGGCCGTCAGCCTCTTGCTGGCCACCAGCACTGTTTACAATGTGAGGGACCGACACTGTGCCCCACCCTGCGTGTGACTGAATAAAGTGCCAGGGTACAGAGGTGTGTTCCAGCATCATGGAGTAGATTTCTGGCTTGTCGGGGGGGGGGGGGCGAATGTCCCTGCAGTCCTGGCTTTTCTTGGCTAATTGGTGAGGAGCTGGTCACTTGTAACCATACTGAAGGGTCGTTTGAGGTTATTGGTGACCATGTAGCACATTCCATCACTACTACTGAGGGTCAGCAGGCCTCGGTGCTCCTGCCTCCCTCTCTCCAAGCAGCCAGGCCTGGATGCAGATTATGCTTAAGTTTCAAGAACTGGCCAGAATCCAAACTCCTGCCTCCACCAGTCACTTACTTCAAAGACTTCTAGCACATTCCATACAGGTCAGGGGCAGGGGAAGGCCCCCAAACATGCCTCCTACACTGATGCCAGCTCTTTTTGGCAATATTTATGCTTTTTGGAAGGCTTAGAGGGGGTGGGTTGAGATCTCATCTAGACTTACTAATTTGCTATTATTTAGTTTTTGTAGGAAAGGCAACTAAACAGTGAATTACTCAAATATGGATTCCTTCCTGAAGAGGATGATTTAAGACTCAGCTGTTTTGAGGGCTGGGGAAAAAAATTTCAGACCTGAGTCTCAAGAGTGAGTATTTACAAAGAAAAGGAAAAAATATTTAAAAGAAGATTATTATGTATTATATAACTCTTCCTTCAATATGATCCTCTTATTTTAGAAATCGTGTTTGCCAACTGACCCCAAGGATTGAAAAACAGAAGTCATTGGCTAAGAATGGGATTGCCGACCCCCAATCATCCACCGTGCAGGGCTGTCAAAGGAGGGCTGGGTGCAGCTTCATCTAGTTAGTAGGTGTCCTTTTCTCACTTCTGGAGAACAAAGAGTCAAAGAAGAAACATGATTTTGTACACTACAGTAAACCTGGAGCAGAAGGCAACATTTCAGCCCATTTAAACGTAAAGGCCAACACTTCAAAGATAGTCCCACTTGAGGAGGGGTAGGATAGTGTGTGGGGAAAAGCTTGAGAATCCTTGCAGAGGCCCTGGGGTGTCATTACCAGATTTTTAACAGGGATGGGAGCCCCATCAGCCTTAGGAAGGGCGTGGAGCAAACTACCAAAGCACTTGTCACTGGAGTCATCCACTCATTCATTTGTATCTTCATTCATTCGCGTGTTTACGGATTGATTCATATATTCATTCATCCATCCAGCAAGTAACCGCTGAGTGCGAGGCACCACGGAGGTGCAGACACAGCCGTGAGCAAGAACAAGAGTGGACCCGAGTAGTGCTACTCTCCTTCCTGGCCTGTAACTTGTCTAGTCTGGCTCTTCCAAACTACGCAGGCAAAAGCCAACTTGTCATCTTTACGATCTCACTGCCTGGTACACAGTCGGTGCTCTGTAAGTGCTTGGAAGGTTTCACATCGGAAGAGAGGCTCTGCGGGCCCACGTGTGCCATGTGGCCTTGGGAGCTTCCTTCCATGTGTTTTTGATCAGCCGCAGAGGCAGCCGTGGTCCTCGCGCCCAGCGTCTGGCTGGCTCCGCAGGCTCTCTGCTCTGTGCTAGGCCCACACACCCCAGCTCCGACTCTCAGGGGCCCCTGCCAGAAAGGCTTCCTTTTAGATCTCTTGTTGTTATGTGCCGTCAAGTAGATCATGACTCATAATGACCCTATGCACAATAGCTCTGAAACCTACATCTATCCTTAGCCAATCTCATTGTCTCTGACACACTTACCCCCAGTACCCCGGTTGCTATGTCAATCCCTCTCCTCCAGGGTCTTCCTTTCTTGTTCTGTCCTTCCACCCTTCCAAGCATGATGTCCTCCAAGGACTGGTCCCTCTGGCCATGAAATTCTGAACCTAGCACTCATTAAAAAAACTTCTGTCATGCCAGAACCAAATCATAGTCAGCTCACACAGAAAACTTTCCTTGGGTTATCAAGACTGTGAGGCTGTAAATCAGATATGTAGAGATTGCCTATTTCTCCCACAGAGCCACTGGTGGATTTGAACCACCAGAGGGGCTTGGCCTTTGGGCTAACAGCAAAGCTTACTCGGGACTACGTCATCAGAGCTCCCAGAACCTTGCACAGTGGTTCAGAATTAACCCACAGCCACGTTGTAGTATCAATTCCCATTTTATTCTCAGAAGTAACATCTCTTTTCAGGAAGAGAATCTGAAAGCAATAGACACCTTAAGAAACAAATCCAAAATTTCTCACTTGGGTTTTTGGTGAAAATGGGTTTTTAAAATGAAAATCAGCAAGCGTGAACCAAAAGGGGGAGGGGAAACCCCACTGCCAGTTCTAACTAGTGGTAGCCCCAAGTGTTACAGAGGACTGCGTCACGGTATGTTCTTGGTTGTGATATGAATGGAATCAGCTCACCAGACCACTTTTGTTTAGGTCCACTAGATGGATCTGAACCGCCAACTTTTAGGTTAGCAGCCAATGGCAAACTGCTTACACCACACATTCCCTTGTAATTCAAGGAGAGATTGGTCCTGCTGTGGGGGAAACTCCACAGCTCAGGACTCTGGAAGGTAGAGGGTGTCCTGGGTCCCTCTGAAGATTTCTGATGCTTTTATAGGAAACTTTTGAGCCCATGCCTGCTAAGGACCCTCACCTTGGTTTCTGGAGTGGAGTAGAATTTAAAATGAAGTTACAAGAACTACCTCAGAATTAAACTCAGAATGGCTCTGTGATTCTTGATTCTGGGGCTGTTCTGTGTTTGGGTCCTGGGTGCTGAGAAGATATGCTAGTAGAGAACACATCTGCACGTGCCTTTGGGTGCACTTTTCTCATCCCACATGTTTGACGTTGCTGACTATGCCCTCAGCTTTTGGAAAGACCTCCAGAAAGTTCCACCACCACTGGCTGGCATTGTGTCAACCACTGATACCTGACACATGTCAGAGTGGACTGTGCATGGTTCATTGGGTTATCTTGATTTCCTCTTGCAAGTTCTTGTTGTGTATGAAAAGGAATCCAGCTGATTTTTGTGTGTTGATCTTGGATAAACCCATAACTTCACTGAATTCTGTTAGTTGAAGTAACTTTCTTGAGGTTTCTCTGGAATTTTATGTTTGTAGGATCATATTTCTTGTGGAGAGGAATGATTTTATTTCTTCTTTTGCCATTTTAGATGACCTAATGCTTACCTTTCTTGCCTTAATGTTAGACCAAAGAATTCTAATACAATGTTGAGAGTGGCAATAATGGGCATACCTCTCTCATCCCTGTTCTCAAGGAGAATACTTCCAATTTCTTTCCTTGGAGTATGATGTTGGCTGATATATGCCTATAATTATGTTGTCCAGTTTCATTTCTATTCCTATTTTGCTGAGAGTTTTATCAGGAAAGGGTTGGACCTTGTCAGAAGCCTTTTCCACATCAATTGAGATAGTTTTGTTTATTTTCCTTTTATTTATTTAGCAAGTTATGCGGATTGATTTTCTAAAGTTCAACCACCCTTGCATCTCTGGTATAACATCTGATCGTGATGGTATTTATTTGATAGGCTGATTTATTCTGTTGGTTAGAATTTTATTGAGAATCTTTGCATCTGTGTTCATTGAGGAACATTAGTCTGTACTTTCTTTTTTCCTGACTTTAGTTTCAGGGTTATGCTAGCTTTATAGAATGAATAATATTAATTCATTTTCTATAGTCTGGAATAATTTGAGTAAAATTGGTATTAACTGTTCTCTGAATGTTTGGTAGAACTTTCCTGGGACTTTTTGTTGTTATTGGGAGGTGTTGTGTTTGGGGTTTTTTTTTTCTAAATATCTCTCTAGTTTCTTCTTTTATTATGAGTCTATTTAAGCTTTTCTAACTCTGTGTTAGTTTACAGTACATAATATGTTTATTAAAAAAATCTGTCCATTTCTTCTAGGATTTCAAATTGTTCATTATATAACACTCTATTATGATCTCCTTTATCTTGGTTTGTTGTACCATTGCCTGTTTAATTTCTTATTTTGGTTACATGCATCTTCTCATAATTTTGTAGATTTGACCAATGGTTTATCAGCTTTCTTCCCCTTTAACAAACCGATTTATTCCCTCACCATTTAGGAGACTGTAAATCCAAATTCAAGATGCTGGTCCTGGGGAAGACTTTCACTACCTCTTGGTTCTAGAAGTTTCTCAGCAGAGGAACCTGGGTCCACAGGATGCACTCACTCCTGGCTCTTCCTTCCTCCCTCTCTCCCTTCCTTCTCCCTCCTCCCTCCTTCCCTTCCTTCTGTCTTTTTTTCTACAATGTTCCTAATTATCCTTTCTAAAAATAACCTTTTTTAAATTATTTTTTTCATTCTTGCACACTTTCCTCCTCCCTTCAGTTCCTTTTGTAGGATTATCATGTATGGTTTCTCTTAATCCATTCTTTCAGAATGCCTTTCTTTTACTCATTCTAATGAAGTAGTCATTATCTATTATTTTCCTTCTCTTTCCCCCTCCCCCATCTTGATCCTATTATTACAATAATGGGCTCAGGCAGTACTTGTCCCTTTGTGACTGAGACATTTTACTCAGCATAATGTCTTCCAGATACTTCCTCAGAAACTTGGAAATATAAATACTATATTGACACAGTAACTGCAGCAATGGGCTTGAGGGTGTCGGAGATTGTGAGGATAGCTCAGGACAGGACAGGATTCAGATCTATTGCTCACCAAGTC